CAACAAGATCAGAACAAAAACAAGATCAGGACAACATCAACAAGATCAAGACAACAACAACAAGATAAGAATAAAAACCAGATCAGGACAACATCATCAAGATCAAAATAACAACAACAAAATCAAGACAACAACAAGATCTGGACAAAAATATATCAGGACAACAACAACAAGATCAAGACAACAATAAGATCAGAACATCAACAAGATACGGACAACAACAGGATCAGAACAACAAGATTCGAACAATAACAAATTCAGGAAAACAGCAACAAGACCCGAACAACAACAAAATCAGGAAAACAACAACAAGATCTGAACAACAACAAAATCAGGAAAACAACAACAAGATCTGAACAACAATAAAATCAGGAAAACAGCAAGATCAGGACAACAACAGGATCGGAACAACAATAAGATTCGGACAACATCAACAAGATCAGGACAGAAGATCAGAACAACAACAAGATCAGAATGGCAACAACAACAGGACAACAACAAGCTCAGGACAATAACAAGATCAGCAGAACAACAAAAACAAGAATAACAGAACAACAACAAGATCAAAACAACAACAAAATCAAAACAACAACAAAATCAAAACAACAACAAGAGCAGAACAACAACAACAAGATTAGAACATCAAGATCAGAACAACAACAACAACAACAAGATCAGAACAACAACAACAAAAATCAAAACAACAACAAGATCAAAACAACAAGATCAGAACAACAACAAGATAAGGACAACAACAAGAACAACAACGAGAACAACAACAACCAAGCCAATTGTCCCTATTATGAAACAAACAAGCTGGTTATTGTTGTTGTTGTTTCCATGACAACAAGCTGAAACAGCTCTCACCCTCACAGGCGTTCCCTCGGACTCTGGCAAAACCTTTACTGCATATCGGATCTGAAAGACAGGAAGGGACAAAAGGCATTAAAATTAACAAACAAAACAAGGTGTGTACTTTTTATCTTTTTAGAAATAAACACTAAAAGAAGCTATTTTAAAATGTTTCTCTTTGCTTATATTGTCTCATTTTTAGACGTTAAATCATCTTTGAGGTCAAAGATGTAAGTGGAGGAACGAGTTCTGCTGCAGAAAATAAATGAAACAATTATAAATCAAATTTACAAATGTTTAACAGACAAAATACAATAAATAAACAAGGTTCGTTTCCACCAGTCTAAAACAAAACGAGGTAATATAAAATGTTAGAACACAAATAATTGACTCTTTGTCGCCGTTTGGATTGAAAACATTTGAGCGTCAGGACCTTTTTCACATTTGGCACACGGGCTGTTCCAGGCCTCTCCCAGTGTGGAGCAGCAGTGAGACTTCAGGGTGGCTCCGTTGATGTTCACCTCACAACGGTTGTTGATCATCTTCAGCCAGCACGTGCTCTTCGTCGTCTCTGGTTTTTAAGATCAAATAAAAAATCATAAGAAGCCCGGCCCAGTATGTGCTGCAGGTACCAGCCAGTGCTGACTTAGAAACGAAGACAAACGATGAGTTTAAACTAAAGACGGACTCACAGCAGCTGCAGTTTTTTATATTAACCTTTAATCTTGCAACAAAATCCAGCAGATGTAGAAAGATCTGCAGAAACAGCTCCGTTGTTGTTCTGGTTTCTAACGCACTAAAGCTGCAGTGTTTGCATTACTCCACTGGTCAAACATGCAGCCATTCTGGTGCACATCTAGTTTTGCACTTTAGTTCCAAAGAGCACAACCTTTATAAAAAATGTTTTCTCTGCAGTCGAGGAGAGTCCAATAAAACCAGCTGCATGAAACAGGAAGAGCTAATGAAAGAGACGATGTTTCCTTTAAAGCCTGGTTCTGGAGATGACCTACCGATACACTCCAGCCCGGTGTTGTCCAGAGAACTGCCCACAGAGCAAGTGCAAACAAACGAGCCCTGGCTGTTGATGCACTCTCCGTTGATGCAGGGGTTGGACTCACACTCGTTCACATCTGAGGACATAGAAACAAGCAGACTGTGAGCTGAAAGCCTCAGACAGGAAGTGAGGCTGCAGCAGGCTGAGCGCTCGTCTGACCCTCGCAGACGTCCGTCTCCGAGTCGAAGCGGTACCCTTTGGGACACTGACAGGTGAAACTCCCAGGTGTGTTTCTGCACAGACCGTTGTCACACAGCAGCCTGTTCATCAGGCACTCGTCGATATCTGGAGACAATCAGAAGCTCGCAGTTATCGACCAGCTGCCGGCGAAGATGCGAACGTCTTGGAGCGATCCACCTACCGACACAGTTTTTGCCCGTCAGGTCCACCTCGAAGCCCTCGTTGCAGGTGCATTTGTATGTCCTCAGCATGTTCTCACACACTCCGTTCTGACAGATGTCTGGGTCCAGGGCGCATTCGTTAATATCTGAGGAGCCAAAAGGATAACCTGCTGAAGGTCCGAGTAAATAACTCAGATCAGCAAATGCCTTTAGTTGAACTAGGCATGTCTGATGATTAAAAAACAACTTCTCACTGAGCTGCCTCTGTTGGAGACCCAAAACTTTAGATTTGTGAAAAAAAAAAAAATTTGGTGAGCAGCAAGCCGTGCAGCTACAGTTTGAGCAGCCAGCTGTTGAAAACCACAGCAAGTTGTGTAAAACTCTATTCTTGGCTGTACACATTACTTTGTTGCCCACATTGGCTCATTATGTGGCCACCTGAACAGCCACAGTTATGATTCAATCTGCTGGAGTTCACTTTAGAAATGAGCCTAGCAGACTTGGACCAGTTTTTATTACGTATTATTAATCATCAGGCTGGTTTTAGAGCTGGACATCCAGGCTATAGCCTCAGATGGAGAAAATAAACCAATCAGTGAGGTGGGGGAGGTAATGTACAAACATCTGAGGGCCTCCTAGACCTGTTCTAGATCAATTTCCTACTTCTTCTTCTTCTTCTTTTGACTTTTCCCTCTTCAGGAGACGCCACAGCGAGTCATCCTCCTCCATCTCACTCTGTCCTCTGCATCCTCTGTCCTCACTCCAACTACCTCCATGTCCTCTCTAACTGCATCCATATATCTTCTCTTTGGCCTTCTTCTTTGTCTTTTTCCTGGCAGCTGCATTTCTAACATCCTTCCACCAATATACTCACTGTCCCTCCTCCGGACATGTCCAAACCATCTCAGTCTGGTCTCTCTAACTTGATCTCCCAGTTGTTCAACCTGTGCTGTACCTCTGATGATCTCATACC